CCCCCCCCCCCCCCGCCTGCGTTATCAGGGAGGAGTGAGGTCTTCCCTGGCCCAGCGAGCCCTGCGCCCCCAGCCGCTGCTCTGACAGGGGAGCCGAGCCACCCACCTTTCCGGAACTGGTGGCAGGCAGTGACGGCCACTCCCTCGGCCGCGTCGCAGGTCCTCACCGGGACCGCACAGCCGTCCCCGAAATCCAGCAGCAGACACAGAGCCCCACGGGAAGCCACCTGGACCCGGACCCCCAGGCTCGGAGGGGCCTGCGCATCAGCTTCCGGGAAGCAACGGGCGGCGGGCGCGAGCGCCTCGCCCGGACCTTGCTGGGAGACGGCCCCGGGGAGGGGCGGACGCCGGGCCTGCGGACAGAGCTGCTTGGGACGAGGCGGGGACGCGGAGCCACCGTGGCCGAGGGAGCTGCGGGGAGAGGAAGGACAGCCTCAGAGCGCGAGCCACGGCCGCACCTGCAGGGACGGAGACAGGAGGGGCCCCGGGGGGCCTGCGGGCGGGCCACCTGCACCAGTTCCCACAGTGGGGTCCGGGGCCGCGGCACCGGATCACCCGGCGCTGGGGGGGGGGTGCCCTGGGGACGCTGGGGACGCTGGGCAGCCACGATCGGAGCGCCCTGCTGCCGCCGCATTCGGGCGCACAGCGGTGTAAGCACCACCTCCCCCCGCTATTCTGGGAGTAGGGGACGTACTAGGGGTGTCCCCGGAGAGTCACGACAGCCAGGTTCGCGAGGAAACGCCCGGCGCGGGTCGGGCGCCAGCACGTGTACGCAGCGCCGCGCCGCGGGCGCCACTCACCGAGCCGGCCGCTCGGGGCCCACCGACATGCACGGGGGGCCGCCAAGCAGAGAGAGGGAAGCCCCCGGAAACGGGCGGGGGTCGGAGGGACCGGTCTCCGTGCCCCCTGCTCTGCACGGGTGCCCCGCGTGGGGCCTGGAAACACGAATCGGACAGCGTCAGCCTGGAGGGACGTATGACCCCGAAACACGGACGCCGGGGGGACCACGGTGGCCCCGAGTGGGCCAGGGCGCCGGGGCTGAAGGCGCGGGCCGCAGCGACCGTCTGCTGGGCGGACAGGGAGACGGCTGCATCGCCGGCCCCTGGGTGCAGCTCCTGGGTGCGGCCTCCGCCCCCCCCCGCCCCCCCCCCCGTACCTTCTGGGCAAGGTGGGAGAGCGTGCAGTCCCGGCGCCGGTCTGAGCGGCCACGGGAGCCCTGACGGGGACCCCCATCGCGACAGCGGCCGACGTGACGACGTCAGTCCCGGGAAGCAGGTGCGGGGCCACGTCCTCTGCAGAGCGCGGCCGTCCCGTGGCACAGCAGGGGCCCCCTGCGGGGCAGGTGCACTGGGATTCGAGGGGTTAACGAGTGAGCGGGGGACACGTGGCCGAGGCGGGGTCCGCCCTGGTGACCGCAGGTCAGAGAGCCGGCCGTAAGGGGGCCCGCTGAGGCTGGGGGCGCCTGTGCTGGGGGGGCGGGGCGGGATGGGCCGGCCCGGGGGCTGCAGACCGGGGGCGGGGAGGATTCACACTCGCTGGCACACGGGCCAAGAGAGCGTGGGTGACACCGCCAGCACGAACCCGTGTCATCCGGGTCCCTGCTCCCTGGCTGAGCCACCACCAATCTGCAGGGTGAGCGACGGCTCTCAGCCCCACATCAGACACGCGGTGTCTGTTTTCCTTACCAACGATCCAATCGGGTTATGCTTTCCACGCACTTGAGCGGTGCGCGCAGCACCAGAAGCTGGAGCTATGGCTGGCCCACGAGCCCCAGGGCGGCCTAGCCACCGGCAGCCTTCTGGAGACTTCCGGGCGAGCAGGGAACACACCCACCTGGGGAAGACGGCGGGAGGCGCCGCTGGCATTCCCAGTCACACGCATCCGTCGGGGACAGGGGCGCAGGCCACGGCTGCTCCAGGAGCTTGAGATTGTAACGCAAGGTTCCTGAGTGTCTCTGGACGCAAAGGGAAAATGCCCAGAGACGGTGAGGCCGGCGTGCTTCATCGCTCACGGGGCCCATCTGACCACAGCGCTCTCCCGGGGCCCCTCTGTGACCCGCACCTGCTCCTCGGTGGTCCCGGTGACACCAGGGCGCCCTGCAGGAGAGGCTGTGCCAGTGTTAAGTGGAGGAGTTTCACTGACAGGAGCATATCTAAGGCCACGGACTAAACTCTGTCCCCAGTTGGGACCCTGCATCAGATGGCTCACCCGCGGGGAGCTCACTGTCCACAGGCGCTCTGCGTCCAGTCACAGTGAGCTGCCCCAGGGCCACAACCAGGCCTCCATGGGATCCACCTGTGACCTGGGGACTGCTCCGAGCAGGACAACTGCCACCCCGTCTGGCCCACCCACAGGTTCTGGAAATGGAGGCGAGGGGCGGGACTACGGGCCGCCGGGTGAGGCCCTCTTACAGAGTCCTAGACCCTGTTTACCTGGACGGGTGAGCCACACCGGTGCCTGTGCCAAGGTCCCTCATGCCCAGGGCACTCAGAGCCATTCCGTTTTCAGGTACAGGGCACTCAGGGCCATCCTGCCTCACATCCAGGACACTCAGAGTCCCCCACACCCCCCAGGCACAGGGCTCTCAGAGCCATCCTCCTTCAGTACAGGGCTGGGTGTGTTGTCCTGGGTTAGGTGAAGGGGTGCCTCTGGCCCAGGCCGCCCTAACCCTGGCGGGAAACACCGGTTCCAGGCTTGCCTGGCCTTCCTGCTGTGGTCGCGGCCTCGTGATATTTCTCTGCACACAGTGGGGGGTTTAGGGAAACCACATTTACTGAGGAGCCCACACGTGCCCTCAGGGAAGGAAGAGATAAGCACAGCGGGAAAGCCCGGGGAGCTTCAGATCTCCACTTAACGCTGCAGGTCCCGGGGGTCTCACTGCCGCCCTGACGGGTGCCTGGGCCAACCCGGGCCTATGTCTCCCCCCATCTCCGGGTCAATGAACCTGACTGCCCTAGGGACCTCGTGCAAGTGGGTGCCCACGACACCTGTCCCTCTGTGACCGGCTCATTTCACTTTGCATCAGGAGCTCAAGGTCCATCGAAAGCTACTGGTTTAACATTTGCATGTTTTGCCCCCACGAGAAAACCAATGACTACAGCATCCAGTGCCCTTGACCCTGGCAAGGCCCTCGGTGCTCCCAGTCTTCACGGCGCCCCTGTGGATTGCTCCCAGCATGCTGGGGGAGCTCAGTCATGGCCCCTCATCTACTTCTCTCAAGTGGCAACAAAAGGCCCTCTTTCTACCATCACGGTTGGGTGCTCTGCACGCTGTCTGCAGTCTCCCACCCCCAGGCGCACTCCCTAAGTCACTGCGGCCTGGCGGGCCCTCAGAAGCCCCTGTGCGTGTACAGAAGGGGGTGCTGAGCTGTGGTCGCTGACATACCTGTCAGCATGGTCGCTCTGATCGGAAGCAGCCCACGTCCTCCTGCTGACCACACTTAAAAGCGCTTCGCTGGTTGTTTCCAGGATGTTCTGTGAGGGGGGAAATAATAATTTGACAGCTGCCTACAAAAACCCGGGAAATTAGGGTAAGTAACACTATTCCATTCAGATAGCGGTTGGCCCCTGCTGCGTGCTGGGCTGTAGAGACCAGGCGGAGAAGAAAGCAGGCTGGTCCCCTGTTCCTGCAGAGCCCACCTTCTTGGGGACGTGGGGGTCCAGCAGGCCATGGCTGCACAGGGGGCACCAGGCTAGTGAGGGTGATATGGGAGACAGGCATGGGACTTTGCCTCTTGTTCTGAATGAGATGCAGGTCTGGGCACCAGCGTGGCATAATGTGACCAATGGTTTGGAGGCGTTAGCCCGGCTGCCATATTGAAAAAGGCCGTGAGAGGCAAGAATCCCAAGGGTTGTTTTCTGACTTGGCTCTCAATCCAGACATCGGATGGGCCCTAGAGACACGAGTGGGCAGGGCGGCCCCGCAGTCTGTCCCTGATAGAATCTCTATGAGAGCCAGGGCACTGTAGGACATCTTTGTCAGAGTGACCAGCACAGATCTCCCTTGACGTATGAGGGGGTTGCACCCAGATGAACCCATCCTAAGTTAAAAAGACCGTTAAGTGGAAAATGCACTCAACACACCACCCTCCCGCACAGCACGGTGGAGCCCGACGCGCCTGACCCGTGCTCGGAACTCTTACATGACCGACCGGCGGGCAAAGTGCTCTTCTCACAAAGCCTATTTTACAATAAGGTGCTGAAGATCTTGTGTAAGCGGCTGAGTGTTGACCTGAAGGTGGGAAGCCGAGTGGCAGCGTGGGAGCAGAAGGGTGCTCGGGGCCTCGGTTGTGGACCCTTGTGACCACACAGCGGCCTGGGAGCCCCTCGGGCCCTACTGCGTGCCGACAGCACGGGAAAATTCCAAGTACAGTTTCTACGGAACACATATTCTTTCCGTACCAGGGAGAGTCGAAATCCTAAGAGGAGGCATCATGAGTCACAGATTGTCTATAATGAGGCAGGCTGACAGCTTCTCACGGAGCTGGATGACGTGAGGGGAGGAAAGGACGGGCTCAGAGATTCGAACTCGACCTAGGTCACCTTGAAGGACCACCTGTCCTCTAGCCACAAGGCTGAGACTGCCGAAAATCAAGTCAGAGGCTCCTCCCTGGGCCACACCAGCCACACCGGAGAGAATGCCAGCCGGCACCAGGAAAAGGCACAGCCCTGTCCCCGGCCCCCCGGGGGCGTGGCCCTACGAGTAGGTGGATTTTGCCTCGGAAAACTGATTGGAAAGAACCAGCTTCTGTCGCATGAGGCCACCCGGTTTGTGGAGATGTGTGTCAGTGGCCCTGGGAAGCCCGTGCAAGAGCCTGGCTTGGACAAGGTGGCCTCGCTAGGGTGGTGGTCAGAGAGGTGGGGAAGGGGTGGCTCCCTCCGGGGACGCCTGTAGGAGCCAAGAGCTATAACACGCAGGAGGGGTGTGGGAGCCACAGCAGGACCAAGCAGGAGCAAGAAGGAAAGGACACTGCCAAGGGCTTGGCAAACTCCAGGCCTGGGTGGGCACCGCGGGGGCCTCTCGAGCTACCCCCCACGATGCCGTTGCCGGCCTCCACTCTGCCGGCAGCTGCAGCCTCCTGGGACAAAAGCCACGATTCCTGCACCAAACAGCAGGGAGGAGCTGGATGGTGTCAGACCTTTCCGGGACCTGCCACCTCACTCTCACTGTCCCACACTCAGAGCCCCAGCCCCGACAGCGCGCCACTCGCCCAGCTGTCCGCACACGCTCCACATGCTCAGGTGCCAGGCCAGATGCTCACTCCCCAGATGAAATCGCAGCAAGGTATGGAGAAGGCCAAAGCCATGGCTGATAGACCCCCAGCACCAGGCCCCCTCTACACTGCCCAGTCCCGTTGACCCTGGCAGGCCCTGCCCTTTCCCGGGGATGTGAACCCCTAGGCTAAGGCAGCCCTCCTCCGAGTGTGGAAGGAGCCAGAGAGAATAGGACAGGTGCAGGGGTGAAGCCAGGCGTCCTCTTAGCCACCAGCTCCCGGGCCTCCATGAGCCTCCTGTCTGCAGGTCCCACAAATTCTACTCTTCGGCTGAGCTAGTCTGTAATGGCACAAGCACTGCCAAGGGTTTCTTTTCCAACTCTCCCTATTTAGGCAAAATTTCCCAAAGAAAGCAGTCCACAGAGGCAGAGAGCAGATTCGTTGTTGTCAGGGGTAGGGTCTAGGAGAGATGCCCACGGGGTGTTTCCTTCAGGGGATGAAGAAAATATCCCAGAACTAGAGAGCAGCGGCAGTGCACAACTTTAGGAATGTTCTAAGTGCCACTTAACTGCACACCTTAAAATGGTTTTGATGCTAAAATAAAATAAAGAGGAGGGGAATGGGGAGGAAAAAGAGCTAGGCCTCACATGATCTGACACAATGGAAATCACGATCCGCTCTGGGGATTATGAAGTTCCTGTTAAATCTAAGCTGGATGAGGAGAGTAGGCAAGATGGCAGAGAAGTAGGGAGCTCTGTATAATTCGCTCACCTCCATCTCTCAAACGGAGAAGGCCAGAACCCTTACAGAATCCAGGAGTTTGGGAGGAAAAGGAGACAGAGTCCGCTGAGAAAACCTTATAGCGGCTACCTCAAGAAACAAGCCAAAGTACACATGGTGGAGAGTCCCAAATACCACTACGAGTAGGAAAATAAAATAACCAAGGTCTCAACAAGAGAGACCAAGAGACACCATTCAAAGAACACTTTCTGAATGGACAGGCCCTGGACAGTCAAAGAGCCTTCTTTGGTACAGCAGCACTCACAGGTGCAGAGTGCATAACAAGCTTTTAAAACAAGAGATAGCTAACCAAAATGACGAAATGGAAGAACTCTCCTCCAAAGAAATTCTAAGAAGAATTGACAGCAGAAGAACTGCTCAAAACAGATATAAGCAAAATAACTGAACAAGAATTTAGAACAATATTCATAAAATTTATTTCTGGGCTTGAAAAAGGCATGGAAGACATCAGAGAAACTATTGCTACAAAGACTATGGAGCTTAAAAATAGTTGTGATGAATTAAAAAATGCTATAAATGAGATGCAAAATAAAATGGAGGCATCCAATGCATGGATTGAAGAGGCAGAAAGGAGAATAAGTGATTTAGCAGACACAATCATAGAAAAAGAGAAAGCTGGGAAAAAGAGAGATAAATTGATCCAGGAACACAAAAGGAGAGTTTGAGAGCTCAGCTATACAATCAAACGGAACAATATCCCATATCATAGGAATTCCAGAAGAGGAAGAGAGAGGGAAAAGTGCTGAAGGAGTTCTGGGACAAATTATAGCAGAGAACTTTCCCAATCTGGGGAAGGAAACAGATGTTGAAATCCAAGAGGCACAGAAAACTCTCCTCAGACGGAACTTGAATCGGTCTTCTGCAAGACATATCATAGTGAAACTGGCTAAATATAAGGACAAAGAGATAATTCTGAAAGCAGCTAGGGATAAAAGGGCTCTAACATACAAAGAGAAACCTATCAGAGTGGTGACAGTCCTATCTACTGAAACCTGGCAGGCCAGAAAGGAATGGTAGGAAATCTTCAAAGTGATGAACAGAAAAAATATGCAGCCAAGAATCCTCTATCCAGCAAGCCTGTCATTCAGAAGACAAGGAGAGATAAAAGTCTTCCCAAATAAACAAAAATTGAAAGAATTCGTCACCACTAAACCAGCCCTACAGGAAATCCTGAGGAGGACTTTCTGAGGGAAATGTTGCAAGGAACGCAAGATACCAGAGACACCACCACAAGCATGAATCCCACAAATGACACAATGACTCTAAACCCATATTTTTCAATAATAACACTGAATGTAAATGGACTAAATGTCCCAATCAAAAGACACAGGGTAGCAGAATGGATAAAAAAAAATAAATACATTTGCTGTCTACAAGAAACTCTTTTTAGACTGGAGGACACCTTCAGATTGAAAGTAAGGGGATGAAGAAATATCTATCATGCTACTGGAAGTCAAAAGAAAACTGGAGTAGCTATTCTTATATCAGACAAACTGGACTTTAAAGTAAAGACAAAACAAGGGATGAAGAAGGGCAGTATATAATAATTACAGGGTCTATCCATCAGGAAGAGCTAACAATTGTAAATGTCTATGCACCGTACACGGCAGCACCTAAATATATAAAACAATCACAAACAGAAACACTCTTATGGATGAGAATGTGCTAATAGCAGGGGACTTTAATACTCCACTTATAGCAATGGATAGATCAACTAGACAGAAAATCACTAAAGACACAATGGACTTGAATGACACATTGAACCAGATGGATATGACGGATATATTTAGAACTCTACATTCTGAGGCCATGGAATTCACTTTCTTCTCAAGTGTGCATGGCACATTCTCCAAGATAGATCACATACTGGGACATAAAGCAGCCTTCAATAAATATAAAAGAACTGAGATCATACCATACACATTTTCAGACCACAATGCTCTGAAACTTGAAATTAATCACAGGAAGAAGTCTGGAAAACCTCCAACAACATGGAGGTTAAAGAACACCCTACTAAAGAACAAACAGGCCAATCAGACAATTAGAGAGGAAATTAAAAAATATATGGAAACAAATGAAAATACAACAATCCAAACTCTATGGGATGAGCCAACGGCAGTCCTAAGAGGAAAGTACATTGCACTCCAGGCCTATTTCAAGAAATTAGAAAAAGCGCAAGTCCAAAATCTAACAGCTCACCTAAAGGAACTAGAGGGAGAGCAACAAGAGCACCCCAAGCCCAGTAGAAGAAGAGAAATAATAAAAAAAAAAACAGGGCAGAAATAAACAATATAGAAACCAAAGAAACAGTTGAACTGATCCATGAAACCAAGAGTGGGTTTTGTGAAAAAACAAACAAAATTGACAAATCTCTAGCCAGGCTTCTCAAAAAGAAAAGAGAGTGCATTCAAATAGACAAAATCTTGAATGAAAATGGACTGATTACAACCAACCCCTCAG